CAGAAGCAGGTGAGGCTCTGTTTCAGGCCATCCAGGGCTGTTTGTTTGAGACCCTGTGTCAAGAAACACCACCACCGCCACTGACAAGCAGAAAGTTTGTATAAAAAGTCTGTTGATTCTGGCAGCTGGAGATGAGGCTCAGCTGGCACGGTGCCTGCCTAGCATTCCCCGGGTTTCATCCCAGCACTTGGGGCAGAGGAGGAGGATGAGAAGTTCAGGGTACTACATCGTGAATTTGAGGCCAGCTTGGGCTACTGAGACCCTATTTCAAAAACCACACACGAGCATTCATACACATATAATTCTGAAGTAATCATGGATTCTTAGGAGGTTGCAGAGATGGTTTTTCAAGGTTCTGTGTGTGTGGTTCCAGAGTTTACCTGGGGCTGCATTCTGAGTAGAACACAGCATCCTACTCAGACCTCTGGGCGTGGTGGTGCACGCCTTTAATCCCAGAACTTGGGAGATAGAGGCAGGTGGATCTCTGAGTTTAAGGCCAGCCTGGTCTATATAGTGAGTTCTGTTCTAGGCTAGCCAGGGCTATGTAAAAAAAGAAAAAAAAAAAAAAAAGCTGACACCACTACCTTGTGAGTGTGAGGCTCCGGCCGGCCGTTTTCTCCGTTTTCTCACCGTTTTCTCACGGTCTCTACCGTTCAGTGCCAGGCCCGGTGAGTGTCCACCTCAGCCCGGCTCCCTCCTCCGGAAAGCGGATGGCTCTGCAGCCCCCACACACCTGCCTCTGTTGCCTCATGAGGAGTTGACCCAGGAGGTTCACCTGAAATTTACTCAACAGATACTTATTGATCAGTGTGTGCCCGGGTGCCATCCTGGGCCCTGGGGAAGCATCAGCAAAGAAAGTCCCTGATGTCGTGTTTTTTCCACACTGAAGTAGAAATAGTGTGGCAGGGACAATGAATGGAGGCAGGGGCCGGTGGTCAGGGGAGTGTGCTCATGTACCACCGCACATACTTGGGGATCTGAGGACAACCTGCAGGGCTTGGATAGCCCCCACTGTATGGGACTGGGGGATTGAACTCAGCGAGTCAGCTTGGCACCAGGCGCCTCTGCCTGCCGAGCCAGCGGCATGATTTAAAGTCATGTGTGAGTGTGTGGGTGTGTGAGTTCAGGTACCTGTGGAGGCCAGAAGAGGGGTTACAGGCAGCTGTGACCAGCTCCCATCCCCCACCATGCTCTTAACTGACAGTTCTCTAGCTCCTCCCCTTCTGTTAGCTCACTCCATCCTTGTAACAACCTAGTTGGGGTGATCACTGTATTAGGACACGTGGGGGCAGGAACTCACAGTTTGCCTACACTTGCAGCATTAGTGATCAGTGAGAATGGGCTGTCTGCTAGGTTTTCCTTCCCTTCCGGGAGGGGGCATTTCCACACAATATAATGAGATCTGATTAGACACAAGTCTGGGGTTCCAACGTCTTTCCTCCCTCCAACCCAGCTCTGCTGTACCCACCCAGCTGTCCCTTTTGTCCCCTTTGCCTGGGACATCCCTCCCTGGCCAGGCCTCATAACCAGCCTGCTTTCTTATTCCCACAGTCTCTTGGACAAGGTCTCTCTATAGTCCTGAATCTCACTCTCTAGACCAGAGCTGGCCTTGAACTCTCAGAGATCCACCTGCTTCTGCCTTCTGAGTACTGGGACTAAAGGCATTTGCCACCATGCAACTCCTGGACTTTATTTATTTTTATTTTATGTGCATAGTGTTTTGCTTGCACGTGTATATGTGTGAAGGCATTGGAACTCCTGGAACTGGAGTTACAGGCAGTTGTGAGCTGCCATGTGAGTGCTGGGAATTGAACCTGGGTGGTCTGGAGGAGCAGCCAGTGCTCTTAACCAGGGGGCCACCTCTCCAGCCCCCACGCCTGAACCTTTTAACAGCTGGCACTTGTTTAGGTATTGACAGGAGGTCTACTTGCTTTTCTTTCTTTCTGTTTTGAGAGGGTCTTACTGTGTCACCCTAGCTGTCTCAGAACTCACAGTGCTCCTCCAGCCGCTGCCTCCTGAGCGCTGGAATTAATGTGTACACCAACTGCATCTGGCAATATTAATTAAAAAAAAAAGTTGGCTGAGTCTGTAAAGATGCCTGGCCACTTGATCCCTGGATCAAAACAGTGGGAGGACTGAACCCACAGAGCTGCCCTCCACATCATGTCATGGCATTGCACACACAGTTAGTTAAATTTTAGCTGGGCATGGCTGGCTGTGCACCCGGAGCCAGAGGCCAAGGCTGCCTCAAAACAAACAAAAAGCCTTTCCTCCCTGCACTCATGAGGAAGAGGAGGCAGGAGGATCAGGGTCAGTGTAGGGTTCACAGTGAGACCCTGCAAAAACGACCAGCTGGCTTCTTTGCAGCAGCGAGTGTTGAATCTAGTATCGATGCTAGGCGTGTTTTTCTGTGTTTCAATTGTTTGGGTTTTGAGACAGGGTCTTTCTGCATAGCCCTGGCTGTCCTGGAACTCACTATGTAGTCCAGGCCAGACTAGCCTTGCACTCACTGAGAGCCTCCTGCCTCTTGAGTGCTTTGACTGTAGATGTCCACCACCACGCTAGGTTCTCCAGTCATGTGTGGGTGTGTCTACATGCGGGAGTGTGCACGCAGGAATCTTCTGTCAAAGATTCTGAGTGTCCACCAGGGGGCCTTAAGTTTCTCTGGGACTCTAGCACACGTTGGTTTTCCTAGCTCTCCTGATATTCTCCCTGCAAATCTTTCTATAGCTTCTTTGGTTTCTATGACGCCAACGAGACGGTCTTGGAGATGGAGGAGCAGCCGGTAAGCCCCTTGTCACAACTTCCTTTCTCCCTCCATTGGGTTTCTGCCTCTGACCCCTGAGCTGAAGGGTCTGTCTCATAGGGCCGGGGCAGCTGGGGCGGTGGGGGTCGGGGGTGATTTGGGCAGCAGCAGTACCTCACTTTATCTTTTTCCTGTGTCTCCACACCCCTCCGCCCACCTTGAAGGTTTATTTGCGAGACTCCTTTGGGTTGAAGACTCTCTTGGCCCGGGGGGCCATAGTGAGGTGTCCGATGGCTGGGATCTCTCATACCACCTGGCACTCCAACCGCACGCTCTATGATACTTGCATCGAACCATGGCTCTCCTGAAGATGCCCTCAGGAATCCCCCAGCCCAGAGACCAAGTGGTGGCCTTGGGAAACAGATGCCAGGCTCCCACACTGCCCCACCCCCCCAGGGCTCCCTGAATCCTCCCCTCTCTCCTCTGTGAATGACAAGTCCTGGTCCCCTACCTCATGTCCTCTTCTGGGGATGTCTCCACACTCCCCCTTTCTCCCACGGCTGAGGTTGGGAAGCGAGCACCAGGTTTTTAACTGGCTTCACCGCGGCTGCTGCTCCTCCGGGTCTGGCTGTACCGGAGGAGAACCCAGCCCCTGCCCACCACAGGGGCCCTTCCAGGCCACTCAGGACATTTTTAGCTTCTGTTTAGTGTCCCCTTTTCTCAACTTCCCTGTTTCCAGCCTCCCCACCAAGAGGGACGCCCGTGAGGGGTTCTGAGGTTCCCCTATGGGGACAGTTCACTTTTGAAGTGTCAGTGTTGGGGAATATCTGTGGCCTGCAAGGCCCATCTCAGGTTTGGGGATCCCCCAGTCCCTATGATCAGTGTTGGGGTATCCCCTGGGAGCCTAGGTTCTTTGAGGCCCCAGCCCCTCTTTTAACAACCCCTCAGTGGGTGTTCCCTGTATTTATAAAAATAAAGTTCCCTTTCCTCAGTGTGGCTTGGCTTATTCCCAGGTGAAGGGGATCTGGGCTCCCCAAAGAGGGCAGGGATGGAAAGCCTGGGGCCTGGGTGCCCAGATGCCTGCTGTGGGGTGGGGACTCCCTTGGTGTTTCCCGTCTTCTCAATGCCCATTCTGTTTAGGTTCCTGACTCTCTGTGTGTTCTTTCCTGCTGAAGACAATTCTCTTCCTGTCCCGGCCTAGGGTTAGGGGGCTGAGCTTCAGCCTCATGGGTAGAATTGGCCTGCCACCCCCGGACTAGACGAGGGGGCTGAGGGTCAGGGTGGGCATGTGTCATGCCCTTTGACCTTTGTCGGTCAGGGCTGGGTGAGGGGCTATACAGTGAGTCTCCCTTTGCCTGGGAGGAGGAATTCACACTGAGACAATAGAGCCCTGTCTGTTCTGGCTTGGGGGTGATGTCCCCCAACCCCCAATAAATGTCATCAAGGGACAGAGGCAGTTTCTCCTGGTGCCTTGGGCGCCCCTGCCCTTCTGTGACTGCTTTCTTTCCTCAGCTGATCTTGCCTGCTTGGCCATGACCTGCCCTTGGTCAGCTCTCCCTGTCCTCACATTCTCCCACAGTCTGTGTTAGGTCGAAGGGGGGTGGGTGCTGGTTGCCACTAGAGCCAGAAACTTCTGATTTGGGGGCCTTCAAAGGTTATGTAGGTCCTTCTAAGCAGCTTGGCTGAAGAGAGGGTGAGGGAGGCAGGACAGGCCTGAGACTGAGAGCCTTGTGGGAAGGAGCAGAAGTGGGAGAGCGCTGTCTGGGCCCGCCCCCTTGCCTTTTCCAAGCTGGAGAGGCCCACCCACCAGTCTGGGCGGCTGCTGCTGGGGCTGCAGACTCTCTGGACAGGGAAACAGGTAGGGAGTCGGGGAAGTCAGTGGAGGACGGGATTGCTTGGCCTTAGGATGGGTAGGGGCTGGAAAGGAGTGTGTCTGGTGTGTATGCGGTGGTGTGGGAGAGGAATGGAGGCAGAGCTGTGTGACATGAAGGTGTAGGCTCTCTACAGTTTGGAGGGAGCACACTGAGAAGGGCTGTGTGGGAAGGCTGGCCATGAGCTCGGGGCTAAGGAGAGCCTGGATGATGGCAGGACATGCCCAACAAAATGCACAGGCTGTTGCAGACCATGTGAGTGCTCGTGCTCCTTTAGAAGAGTGAACGTCCTGACCTCAGGAGATTGTTTTAGCAGGGCTGAGGCTAGACCAGCCAGAGAGAAGCCTGTAACTGCTTGTCTGCAGCCCACAGAGTCTGGAAGAACCATGGGGCTCAGGGTTGAGCTGGGCGGTTTCCAGATTGGACTCTCATTCCTCCTGCTACTGATGTCAGGCGAGGGGCGCAAAGGAGGAGCTTTCAAACAAAGGTGACAGCAAAGGGGGAGGGCCAAGGTGAGGACGGGGGGGGGGGGGGCAGACTTGGCCGTGTAAAACAAAACTGAACATTTAGAATGAGGGCACTGGGCCTCAGCAGCTGCTGAGGCCGCCACACTCAGTGCCTCCCACCTCCACCCCGACATGGCTGCAGTGTGGGGGTCTGCTCCAACCAGACCCTGGTGGTTCCACTCCGATACAATGAGTCCTACAGTCAACCGGTATACAAGCCCTACCTGACCCTGTGTGCTGGCAGGCGCGTGTGCAGCACCTACAGGTGAGAGGTGACGCCCGAGCACTCCCCAGAACCAAGCCCAGGATGGGTACCCGGAATCCTGACCCGGTTCTATGTTCTAGGACCACTTACCGCGTGGCCTGGCGGGAGGTGAGGCGGGAGGTTCAGCAGACACACGTGGTGTGCTGCCAGGGCTGGAAGAAGCCACACCCAGGAGCTCTCACCTGTGAAGGTGAGTGAGGCTGGGGCTTGAGGCCTTCATGGGAGGCACTGGGTGGTGCTGGGGCCTGGCACTGAGCCCAGGTCTTAACTCTCTTTCCTTTCAAATGCACCCAGCCATCTGCTCCAAGCCTTGTCTTAATGGAGGTGTCTGCACTGGACCAGACCAGTGCGAGTGTGCCCCAGGCTGGGGAGGGAAACACTGCCACGTGGGTGAGCAGGCAGGTTGCCCCACAGTGGGGGCGGGTGCTGGGATGGCCCCACCCACCGTGGCGCCCTTGCCCCCTTCAGCCCCCTCTGTTTTCTGGTAACTAGATGTTGATGAATGCAGGACCAGCTTCCCCCTCTGTTCTCATGGCTGTTTGAACACCCTGGGCAGCTTCACGTGCGGCTGTCCGCACCCCCTGGTTCTGGGTTTGGATGGGCGCACCTGTGCAGCAGGGCCTCTGGAATCTTCAACAAGTGCCAGCATCCTCAGTGTGGAGGGTGGGTATGAGATGCCTGTGGGGTAAGCCTGGGTCCTCGTAGTGGGCGAGGCCATGCTCACAGTCTCCTCTGTCCTAGTACGAGAAGCAGAACGTGAGGAGCAAAACCTGAGGTGGGAGGTTGCAGAGCTGCGGGCGCGGCTGGAGCGGCTGGAGCAGGTGAGCAGTGGGCAGAGGCAAGGGAGATGGAATGCACCCGGGACCGCGCCAGAATCCTGAGGTACCACTTTCCTTCGCAGTGGGCCACACAGGCTGGGGCCTGGGTCCGAGCAGTGCTGCCCATGCCCCCCGAGGAGCTGCAGCCAGAACAGGTGGCTGAGCTGTGGGGCCGGGGTGACAGGATCGAGTCCCTCAGTGACCAGGTGCTGCTGCTTGAGGAAAAGCTGGGTGCCTGTGAGTCCCCCCTGCTCCTCCTCCACAACTAAAGACATTGTCAACTCAGCACCTCACCTCAAAACCCTCCACCTCTGTCCTTACCCCAGACCCGTTCCCCGGGGTCACTTGCTTAGTGTTGGGGGACCTGACTACAGCCACCTTGCCTCTCTGCCATTAACCAGGTGCCTGTGAGGACAACAGCCTGGGCCCAAACTTCCACGGCTGACAAGGAACTCCCACAGCAGCCTGGATCCCTAATTTATACAAAAACTGCCTTATCTGGAATTGGTAGATGGGGGATTGACCACCTGGCCGCAGAGGCGCAAAGAGCCACGGGAAGCCCCCAGATCTCTCTTTCTCTTTATTCTCAGTTGCTTGCTGTTACCCCATAATAAAAACCAACCACACAAAACTGGATCCCACTCCTTCCTTCTGCCCCCCGCCTACCTCCTGGGTCTTAGGAATGGGTCTAGAGTGGGAGGCAGGGGAGTGGCCAGTGCCACTGGGAGGAAATGAAAACTGGCTCAGAGGGGGAGGTACCTCAAAAGAAAGAGAAATAAATTAAGCGCCCTCCTCTCCCTCTCACCAGGGTCAGGTTCTTTCCCCTAAGGCCCCAGGGAGCAGAGAGCGCAGCTTCTAAGGACTGCCCCTCCGGAATTTGGTTAGATGGTGCTGGGCCAGGACCCTGGAGACCTCTACCAAAGGGACGGGGAAAGCAGAATTGGCATTTGAAGTGTGCTCAGCCCCTGGCATGGGCAGGGATGAGGCCTCCGAGTTAGACGAGCCCAGCCCCGCTGAGGGTGACAGTGTTGAGTTCCCTAGGTGAGCTGGGGAGTCCTCAGGTGCAGCTTCCAGCCACAGGGTGAGGAGTCCTCACAGCAGATGGGCCCACTCCATCTGTGGACTTGGCGTGAGGAATGGATTGTTCCACACAACAGATGAGTCCATTGTCCAGTGTGGGGTGGAGAGGAAGAGAAGGCCACAAAGAGACCATTGGGGAAGGATGGGATGGAATGTCCCCACCCTTGTATCTGATGAGCCACTTGAGATGAGGGGAGGCAACTGTCCCACAAGACAAGATGGCAGGTGGGGATCGCAGTGGAGACTGTGCCCACACGGGAAGAGTCCGTGGGTAGGGTGGGGAAGGACATGGAGTGATGCTGTATCCATATTCACTTCAGAAGTTGAAGACTCAAAAAGGAGAATAGGGAGTGGGGACCCAGGAAGAGGGCCTGGCCCTGCTTCAGGCTCTGGGTTAGAGGTGTGGGGAGGAAGAGGGGAAGGGTAGGAGGAAGCTCAGAGCCGGGCCTCGCCCGCTCCCCCAGGCTTTTTCAGACAGTCACCGCCACCCAGGCCATCAGTGGAGATCTCCCGGAAGACGGTGAGCATGGAGTGCCGGACTCTGTCCGCCAGAGCTGGGACATCATCCGGTGTCAGCCCTTCTGTGGGCACTGGGGACAGCACCCGTACCTGACATCGTCCTGGGGGGGAGGGAATGAGGAACAGCATCATGGCTGGCACTCCTGGGTCTCGGCCAACTCTCTAGTGCCATCCCGCTATGCCTTTCCTCCACCTTCTGGGTCTCTCCTGTAAACCAGGATGACCGCTGCTCTGCTCGCCAGCTGCTAACCAAATCCCCAGGCTGCTGTCCAGGCCTCTCTCCAGGATTCCAGTGTGCGGTCACAGTGTGCAGAGCTGGTATCAGCTACAACTCTGCACACGCCAGCTTCACCTTCCCTCTTGGAGACTGGTCCTTCCTACCTGGCACACCCAGTGGGTACTTAAGGTCCCCCGCCTCAGGGACATTCCCCGGCCTCCCGTCAACTTCCTGGCCATGCCCTCCCCAGACCTGCTCAGAGCCCTCAAGCCAGGTGAGCTTACCCGAGGTGAAACGGCGTTCCTTTTTGCAGTAGAAGTCTTGATAGGAGGACATGACTATGGGGACAATGGGAACCTGGGGAGAAGAGGCAAAGCCAGGGAAGTGAGTGCATCTGTCCTGGGAAGGAAGGAAGGGGGTCTGGATGCTGATGAGCGGACAGCAGTGATCACCTGGGCCTGGACTGCAAGGTGGAAGGCGCCACGTTTAAAGGGCAGCATAGAACCGTTGTGGTTTCTCGTTCCTTCAGGAAAAACCCAGACTCGCACCTGAGGGAAAGAGGAGGGTCAGAGGCTGCCATGAGGACACAGCACTGATTATCAGGGGTTTGCAGCCATTTGCTCCCTAACCCCCCAATCCCATCGCAGAAGGACTCACATCCTGGGTGAGCAGGGTCTGGGCCACCTCAGACATGACACTGATGGCATCTCCCGTGCGTTTCCGGTCAATGAAGATGACTCCCGCCAACCAGCAGGCCAGCCCCGCAGAGCCAGCCCACAGTAGCTCCCGCTTGGCAATGGGCACACAGCGATCCGGCAGCACCTCCATCATCCCTTGGCAGGGGTGGGGATGGGGTATGGATGAGGGTATAAGCAGGATCAGAGCAGGCACCACACCCACCCAGGCCACCACCCACACAAACTGAAGAGGTGGATTGGAGAAGCCCTGAGAAATCAAACCTGACTACAGGCGTGCGCGCCTGCTGAGGGCAGACCCACCCCGGGAGAGGAGACCTGAACAGGGGGGACATTAGAGAGGAGGGGAATTAAGGTCTCTAGGGAAGCAGGGTCAGAAGAGAAGGCTCAGCTAGAGGACGGGGCCCTGTGATGAGGCCTCACCGAGCAGGTCGAGGGAGCTCTGGTGGTTGGAGACCACAACGTAGGGCTGCGTGGGAGGGAAGTGCTGAGCCCCCCGCACCTCCACTCGGATCCCATACAGGTATTTGATGTGCAGCAGCATCAGACGCAAGATCCTGTGGGGTCATGGCAAGGGGGCCCAGTGGGGTCCACTGATGCCCACCTCCGTGCCTCTGTGTGCCCGCCTGCCTACGACTTCCTGGGCGTCTCTGCAGTCCTTTCCCCCATCCTTGCCTCACCCTTGGGTTCCCTGGGGACCCACCGATTCTCGCCCCCTGGCCCTTACTTCATGTTCTCGACATTGCGCCCTCGCACTGCGCACACAGGGATCGCGAGGATAGCCAGGAAGAGGATCCAGCCGTTGTAGAAGGCCATCTTGAAGAAGTACTTGGCACTGGGGCTGCAGAACCACAGGGTGGACAGCAGGAGGAGCAGCAGCAGCAGCAGCGCTGTCCAGGCCCCGGGCCACAGCTCCATTCTGGTCACCTGCAGGTGAGAGGAGCCAGGTAAACCAGGAGGCAAAGCTGGGACATCTCCAGGAATGGGAGGAACCCAGCCTGAGATAGATAGCTGCCCGCTGCAGCTCTGGCTAAGTGATAAGGGAACAGCAAAGGCACAAGCTAACACTTGTGGCTGGACTTTTTTTTTGAGGCAAGTTTCATTTTAATCCAAGCTGACCTGGGGCTCCGTAGCCCAGGGAGGTCTCTAGCTCGCAGCAGTCCTCTGACAGGTATGAGGCACCACAGCCTGCTCTGGACAGGCGTCTATGTCTGTACTGGCCACTCCCAATGGTGAGGGACTGGGAATATTAATTAAATGCACACCAGACTCCTCAGGATTCTGGGTGAAAAACATGCATGTAAAACACCCCATTAATAACACTCGCTCTGTGCTGGACGCCAGGAAAGAGCACCACTAGTACTGAACCCTCCGGCTCTGATGGGCTCCGTTAAAAATACCAAGAAAACGGACTTCACTGCTTCTTTTCACCTTTCTTTCTTTTTTTTTTTTTTTTTGATTTTTCGAGACAGGGTTTCTCCGTAGCTTTTGGTTCCTGTCCTGGAACTAGCTCTTGTAGACCAGGCTGGCCTCGAACTCACAGAGATCTGCCTGCCTCTGCCTCCCGAGTGCTGGGATTAAAGGCGTGCGCCACCACCGCCCGGCTCTTTTCACCTTTCTTACTGTGGCCATCAGAAGCTTAGATCTAAGTGACTTCCTAGGGGAGGCCTTAACCTCACTGAAGAGCAGATGGGGGTGAAGTGGGGGAAAGGGGAGGGGTGGGAGGAGTGGAGGGAGAGGGAACTGGGATTGGCATATAAAAAATAATAAGTAAAATTTAAAACAAGAGCGGCTCCATTTTATTTCAGGTAGACAGCGCTGATTTATGCAGTATATTCAACCCTATGTGTGGCCACGAGATAGTTTACAAAGTTCTGTCAGCATTACTGGTTCCACAGGAAAGAGCTCACCTGGAGCCATGCAGCTCCTCGGCAGTTCTCTGATAAGCCTAGACATCCTGTGCTCCCAAGCCCTGCTCGTCCTGTCACTGTACATACATGTACACACACACACACACACACACACAGAGCAGACATGGAGCCCTGCTACATACAGTCACTGTACATACATACATACATACACACACACACACACAGAGCAGACATGGAGCCCTGCTACATACTGTCACTGTATACACACATACACAAACACACACACACACAGCAGACATGGAGACAGTGACAGAATACTGTGGAACAAGGAAAAGGCTCATGTCAGAGATCCAGAAAATCCCAGGCATGCAAAGGCTAATATGTTCACATGCAGACATAAATTTCTATCATACCTAGAAACAGAAAAAGGAATGCAAACACATGTCTAGAAAAATCTCTTCTCCCCTGTGGAGTCCTTTACGACCCCACACACGACATACCAATGCACTTCTGCAGACAGGCAAACCAACCCAACCATTCTCTCCCTCTAGCCTCATGGAGGAGGCAATGTGGGCAGACAGGTCAGCAAGAGAGGGAGAGGGCTGCAGCAGACACGGAACGGAGTATACAGAACCACCTGCTAGGATGGGGAGAGGCTCAGGCATGGGAGACACTTGCCTGCAGAACCCGCCTTCTGGGTGCTTCCTCTTTACTCCACTGCCCACTGCGGGCAGCATGGTCACAGCTGATAAAAAAGGGTGTTGTGGACCTGTGTCTCCAGGCAGGTCAAAGGTTCTCTCGTCCTGAACCTGGAAGGGCCCATCCTCCGCTCCCAGCTGTACACCGCACCCCCTTAGCGCTGCCCTCCACAGACAGGCTTCTGCACCCTAAGTTTGAGCACTCTTCTCTCAGAAAGGCCGTTTTTGAGAAGCCGGCTTTGCTTCTATCTCTGACTCCATCTCCAGAATGATTTTCTTGCCTTCCTCAGGTTCACCACAGGTCCTTCATGAGCTAAGGCTTCGCCACACTGCTCCCTGTGCCTGGCAGGCCTTCCCTCCCCTGGCTCCACACAGCTCAGCGCCACCTTTCCAGGCCCCTGCTTTCATTACAGATTCCTGGCATATCCCTGACTATCCCCCCCGACTGGTCGCGACACTCTTCCTGCCGTCCCTCCTGAATGCTGGGACTAAAGGTGTGGGCCACCACGCCTCACGTCAGAGGTTGTCAAGGTGTACAAATATAACTCCCGGGCCTCACCCAGACATAATGAGCCTGGGCTCCGGGCCAGCCTGTATTTTAACATGCCTTCCAGGTAAGTCTGCTGTTCACTGGGCTTGAGAACTAGTGGTAACACAAAGTGGGTAAGAGTTCACTGGCCGGGAAGTGGTGGCACACTCCTTTAATTCAGCACTCGGGAGGCAGAGGCAGGTGGGTCTCTGTGAGTTCGAGGTCAGCCTGGTCTACAGAGTGAGTTCCAAAATGGGCTCCAAAGCTACACAGAGAAATATTGTCTTAAAAAACCAAAAAGGAAAAAAGTTCACTAGCCTCTCCTGCTCACCTCCTCCGGGCCGTGAGCAGGGACTGTGTCAGGACTGTCTTACGTCCATGCCCAGATAGAAGCGGGCTCAGGAGGCGCTCAGTAAATCTTGGTGAAGGTTTTCTAAGGCTGTAGACACTCCCACAAATGGATCAGTTAATAAGGGAATATGGTTCTGTTTTTGTTTTCCTTCACTTTGCTTTTGCAGTGCGGGGCTTTTCACATGCTGGGCACGTGCTGGGACCCTGAGCTACACTTGCAGGCCAGGGATGGACGTTCTGATGGAGGAACATTAGGAAACATCGCCTCCCCCAAATACTGACAACAAGCCTTACAGCCCCCCATTTACACACGGCCACAGGGAAGCCAGTGTACAGACCATGAAGATGTCATCTCTCTCAGTACACAGGGGCACGACAACGATCCTTATGGACATGGGCACTGGGGGCTCACCACAGGACAGACTTGCACTAAGGGACGACACAGCCGGTGGAGGGAAACATGTAAAGACACAGGTCAGGAGTCAGCAAAGTAAAGCAAATGAATGGGCCCATGGGACCCTAGGTGTGGTGACATGGAAGGCAGAAGACCAGGAATTCCAGGCCAGCCTGGCTCCCTGGCTCCCTGTCAAGTTCAAGGCCAGTGTGGGCTATGTCAAACAAACAACTTAGGTGGGCATAGTGGTGCATGCCTTTAATCCCAGCACTCAGGAGGCAGACACAGGTGGATCTCTGTGACTCTGAGGTCAGCAGAGGCTACACAGAGAGACCCTGTCCCAAAACATAAGAAATAAATGGCAGGTGCAACCAGAAGTACATGTTATGGTTACGCCACACTGACAGGTCACATCACAGGGCTTGCAGATTTGTGGTGAGAACCACATGAAGGCAAACAAGCCCTTTGGTCACAGCAGGGCTAGCCACTGGGTCCCACACAGGAAGATCCTGCATACTCCAGGGCTGTGGATGAGCACCTGTGAAGCCAAACAAGCAAGCATGGGAAAATAAAAGGCCTGTAAGCACCATGGAAACCCCCAACAGATGCGACACGCCAAGTCCTCGCGTACACTTGGCACTGGAGCATGTCACAAACTTAACACAAGACATGGGATGAGAAGGATGGGGGCCACTCCGATGGGTGTTTAAACGTCCTTTCCTACAGCGGCAGTCAGCTGAATACAGCAACGCAACCTGTCAAAGGTGCTCAGAGCCTCCCACAAGACGCTCGCGTGTTAGTACGGGTCTATTCCAACGTGGAAGGCCGCTGAGAAATAAGCGCTTCTGTGCCCAGAGAGTAACGGGTGCCTGACAGCATTCCTAGGAAGCAGTCCTGGCCACCCAAAAGTCAAGTGGGGCCAAGGCGCAGCAGAAGGCTGGGGAACCTGAAGGGAATCCCCTCTCCGCGATTCCCTTGTCCACACCCCCGTCCCAAATTCGGAGTTCCCATCACTCCCCTCACCCGGCTAGGGCCCGCTAGTCAAGCCCTCCACCTCGGAGCTGGTCCCCAGCCCTCGCCGCTCCCATTCTTCCGCTCAGGCCCCTCTCCCCAGCCACCCTGCCCCCAGACGGCCCTCCCAACCCCATCTCTCCCCCATCCCGGCCCCTTCCCGCGCCCTCCTCCCGCCTCCTCCCACCCCTTTCCCGCCCACACCTCAATGGGGCGGGGGGCCTGGGGGACGGGCCCCCTCCCCAGCCAGGCTGCGGCAGCGGTGGTGGCGGCTGGCTCTATCTCTGTCTCGGTGCCAAGGGGGCGACAGGATTTGGGGATGTCCTAGCCCCGGCCGATGGAGGGGTGGTGGCAGTGGGAAGCTGGGCCCATATCGGCAGGAATGGTGGGGGGCCGTACCCCCGACACCCTCCCCACTGCCGGCTCTCTGAGGGCCGGGGCTACTGCTGCCGCTATCTCCCCCACCCCTCCCAGCGCGTGCTGGCTTCCGGGGCTGGCCAGGAAGTAGGGCCGATGATGGGCAGCGGGCCTCGCCAATCGCCTCTTCCGAGACCAGCATCTCCTCCCCACGCCGGCCAGACCTCTCGCTGGCCCCGCCCCGGGAGAGCTCCGCCGGGCTCGCGGCCGCTGCCAGCTCCAGCGCTCGGTCCAGCATTTCCAGCACCTGTGCCCCGGGTCCCTGCTCCATGTCCTCTGCATCTCAAGCTTCGTTCACATGCTCTCTGACCGTTGCCTTTCTTTGAACGCAGCGCTATGCTCAGCCCCTGTAACTCCAGTTTTCCCAAACACCCCTTTTCCTGTCCCCATAAACACACGTTTATAAAGTACCTTCTAAATTCAAGCATTAAGTTCACCCTTTTCTGCCCAGAACTCCATCTTTCCCTGCCGAGCTTTCCAGCTCTCTGTCCACTTGCTCTTTGTCCCGGGCCCCCATCTCCTTCCTCCACCCACCTTTAGCCTTTAAGGATAAAGGGCCCTCTCTCCCTTACAAGCTTGTTTGCCTAAGTCCTTTCAGAGTTCCTTCACTCACCCAGTCTGAGCCAACCGACACAATCTAGCTGCTGGCGTTGGTGGAGTGCACTTGAGACCCCGGGGCAGGAGCATCTCTGAGTTTGAGGCCAGCCTGAGCTACAACGGGACTTTGACAATGAAACTCTGCTTCCTAGGGGTAATAGAATGAGAAACTAAGGCAAGTAGCCTGCTGGTCAAGCCTGACTCCCTCTCTCGGGACCGGCTCATCACTCCTACCTCCATATTCGCCATTTCAGTATCTAAATCTCTTCAGCACTCCGGAATCCTCGCTCCGCCGTACCCTCTACTGAGTCCCAGCTTCTCACCTTCCTTTATTCCTGAGTCACACGGACACTTTTTATCAGTGTTGGGCAGTCCTGAGCCTGTCTCTGTCTCCCGCCCCTGGACACCTTTGCCTTGAATGAGTTTACACAGCTTGGTGAAGAGCCCTTGGTAGTGGGAGGACTGTTACCTAATTCTGCGCCTAGGGTCACACTGTGGGTAACTGAGTACTGAGTACTGGACCGGCCCAAGCTCCCAGAGGTCCAGCCAAAAAAAAAAGACCTGCAGGGCAAATTACAAGGAAGGGGCGGATCTACTCTGTCCTGACGCGGGTCACCTCAGGGGTGGGTTGTGCTCCTCGGGCGCCCGCTCACAAAGGGGTGGGACCAGACCTTTCCTGCTCTTAGGATTTAAGACGGAGCTGAGGTCCACCTTAATCTGCTCTGTGTCACATTACAACGGGGGCGGGTGGGCCTTGGGCTCGGTTCTGCTCTGAGATTCACCTAGAGAGGCTGAGTCGTCCAACCGAGAGAGTTGGGTTAACACCAGCGCCGCAGACCGATGACCGCACCATCCACACGTCGGGCTAACCCCACTTCTGCTCCCCACTTCTCCAGGAGGGAGGGGCGGACCCAAGTTCTGCCCTCTACGTCACCCAAGGAGGCCGGAGCCATCTTGAACCCTGCGACCCTGGTACTTCTGCCCTCTTTTCCCGAGCTCAGCACCGGCTCTCCAGGTCTCGGCCAATCAGCGGCGAAGCAAACCGCCCAATCAAGCCGAGAGAGTCCCCGGTCCAAAGGCCCGGATGAGGCCGAGCCGAGGCCTTTGAACCACTGGCCCCGCCAATAGCGGAGGGGTTGCCATGGCGACAGGACAGAGTTGGAGGGGTGGGACCGGAGTCGACTCAGCATCCGTCGGGTTGGCCCACGCCGCGCCCCCCCCCGCCCCTTATTGCGCATGCTCGCTTCCTGTAGCCACCCCGTGTCGCTCCAGCCAATCGTTTGACTTGGAACCGTACGCTCTAAAGTCCAATAGGAACACAGACATTCTTCGAAAGCGGAAGCGAAGGAGAGAAGCGGCTCAGAGGGGGCTACTTCTGCAGGCCCGAGCCAGTCCTCAGGGTCTGTGGCTATGACTGGCAGCTGCACAGACGAATCAGAGCCTCCGTAGCTGAGCGCATTATTACCAATCCCTCGGCCCTGCACAGTGACTGACGCTCTCTCAGCCAATCAGCATCGTGAAAGGGTAGGCCACGCACATCTTTTCCCGCCCCCACCCTCTAGCTCTAGTCTGGCTTTTGACTCCTGTATGATTGGCAGGCGTCTCGACCAATAGTCATGAGAAAACCTTGAAGTCTGCCCAACGATCGTGGGCAGTAGGCGGTCCTGGTTTGTTGGGGTGTGTGTGTGCCGAGTGTGAGTGTATATGTGTGTGTGTCTGGGGGTACTGAGGGGTACGCGGGGGCGAAGCAGAACGGGCCATGGCAGCAGCGGAGGAAGAGGACGGGGGCCCCGAAGGGCCAAACCGCGAGCGGGGCGGGGCGGGCGCGACCTTCGAATGTAATATATGTCTGGAGACGGCTCGCGAAGCTGTGGTCAGCGTGTGCGGCCACCTGTATTGGTGAGAATCCGAATCGGGGGCATGGGATGAGGGGTGGGGTTCCTCTGAGATGGGGAGGCCGAGAGCGGGGCCATGCAGTTAGCCCGATGACTCGAGGGCATGCCCCCCCCCCATCAAGGGAAGGCCTGAAGTGGGGACTGGTGTCTTTACTGGTGTGTGTGGTGTGGGGGAGTGTGGAATCGTTTCTGTGCAAATGATATGTCGGGAAAGGAGGGTCTAGGAGCTAGTGCGTATGTGGCATGGTAAAAGGAGGAGGTGGGATGGGGAATGGAAGACCCTGCACGTTGGTGCTGGTGAGGATTGAGCCAAAGTACCCCGTTAGGTCTACCCAGCTGTTGACATAAAAACAGATGAGAGAGACTGTCTGTTTAGGGGAGGTGCCCCTCTCGGAGGATGGCAAGATCTAGGGACTGTGGGTCCATACTGAGATAGGATGTGTGTGTGTGGGAGGGGGGTTGTCAAACCCAAGGACAAAGGCCTTGTGGAAAGGCAAGATCTCCAGAGAGGTTTAAGGGTCATAGAGATAGGGACTTTACTGAGCTTGAAGTGAGAGGGAAAGGGATCCGTAGGGCTGTAACGGTGGAAATCTGGAGGAATGGGAGCAAGAATGGAATTGGGGCTGAAAAGAAACCTGTTGAATTGGGAAATCAAGTTAAGAGGTAGAACATGGAGAGGTTGAGGGAGGGGTGAGGGGGTGGCAGGAGAGAGAGGGAGGGAGGCGTGTACCAAGTGTATTGAAGATGGAAAAACTTGAGGTATTGAAGATGAGAGAAGCTGGAAAAATTAAGTGAGCAAGTTTGCTGGAAGTTGCAGAAACTCTGGAAAGAAACATAACAATAAAGCAGGCAGTACCTGGGAAGACCGGTGCAGTGCGCTCCTGTCCGGTGCCGGTGGCTCTGCTGTAGTTTGACCTGTTTTCTCGTTTTCTCTTCCTTTTCCTCCATCCAGTTGGCCCTGTCTTCATCAGGTAATGTACTCATGAGATGAACAGGGAAACGGAAAGGGCTGGGGACCTTGAAAACCCTCTTTGTGTTCGAACAAACTTTGTGTTTTCTCTTCAGTGGCTGGAGACACGGCCAGACAGGCAAGAGTGCCCCGTGTGTAAGGCTGGCATCAGCAGGGAGAACGTTGTCCCTCTTTATGGGCGAGGGAGCCAGAAGCCCCAGGATCCCAGGTGAGAGACTCAGACGCAGTGCTAATGAACGTTGAAGCTTCGCCCCAAGAAGGGGACAGACATGCTGATCCCCTCTCTCTTTCCTCAGATTGAAAACTCCACCCCGCCCCCAGGGCCAGCGACCAGCTCCAGAGACCAGAGGGGTGAGTCTCCTTGTCCAGCTGTGTCCCTCCGGTGCCAAAGCCTGTGGTTTCCCTGATCTTCCCTGCCTCCCTAGGGCTTCCAGCCGTTTGGTGACACCGGGGGCTTTCACTTCTCATTTGGTGTTGGTGCTTTTCCCTTTGGCTTTTTCACCACCGTGTTCAATGCCCACGAGCCTTTCCGAAGGGGTGCAGGTAAGAGCTTTCCCCGAGTTCCTGCCAGGGCCCCCTCCTGGCCTGCAAGCATGCTGCTGATGCTTTCCTTTCTCCTACAGGTGTGGATCTGGGACAGGGTCACCCGGCCTCCAGCTGGCAAGATTCCCTCTTCTTGTTCCTTGCCATCTTCTTTTTTTTCTGGCTGCTCAGTATTTGAGCTGCATCTCCACCCTGCCCACCTCTAGCTAGAGGAGAATCAGTATTGGGGTCCCTGCTGGCCATTCCTTGCTTTTGGACCACCCTCACTTCCATGACCTTTCTCTGTCGGCGAAGGCCTCCTTTGGGAGGCCATGGGGAGGAGTGACCCGTCCGCTGCGGATGGGAGTATCTGCTGCTCTGTGCTGCTGGCTCAGTAGCAGTCATCCCCCACCTGGAGGAGGACAGACTAAAGACAGCCACCCAATTCCCCTTTGTTCCAATCCTTTGCTTCCCCCAGATTTCTTGATTTGATGTTTAAAGGTGGGCTCTCCCCCAATTCTCCACTTGTTGATTTAATTTAATTGTTCTCTCCCACCGTCTAATATGAGTTCTGACTCTTAGTGTCTCCTCTCCACCCCTCACTACCTCCTTTATTACAGATTCAATTAAAAAAAAGATGAAATAATCTGTTGGCAAATCTTCCCTATCCTTCCCTTTTTCTAGGATAGGCACCTCTTCCGCCCAGCTTGAACAGATGCTGGGCATGGTGGGAGGCATGGGGTGAGCCCCTCCCCTGCAGGGCTCCCAGGGATGCAGGGGTGAGGTCACTTCTCTCACAAACAGACAACAGGTAGGCAAGTGTGTCAAGTGTTTACTCAGCATGGGTCAGGTGGGCTCTGGTTGTAGAAGAAAGTGTATGAGGTGGAATGGGGCTCGTACGTGGGAGAGGGAGGACGAGGGCGGCGAAGGAGCTGGTGGACAGAGTCTGCCTGGGCTCTCCTAAGGTCCCCCTGCCATGTTCTCTGCTGTTTCGGCGTCCTCTGACTGATTCAGCTCCGCGCGTTCCTCCTCGTCCTCCTCATTTTCTGGGGCCTTCCTGAGAAGGAACAGTATCCTAGCCTTCCGGCGGCCCACTCTGACAGCTCCCCTGGCTGCCTGGCAGCCCGGGTGGAGCGCTTTTCACTCACCTCTCCTCTCTGGGTAGCCGTTTTCGCCACAGGATGACCCCAACGAGCAAGGTGGCCATTCCCAGGCCTCCCAGGATCCCCAGGGCCAGGGCTAGGGTCCCCAGCCCAGCCCCACCCACAGAGCCTGTAGGGACATAGGGAAGATTGAGGGCACAGCTCCAGCACACGGCTCCTTCCTTGTTGACTCTGCCCCAGTCACATGCAGCAGTCACACGCTTCCCTCTGACTCTAGTCCAGTCCCTCACCTGCAGCCGGCCCCTCCTGGCCTGTTTCTGGAAGACAAAGAGTAGTCTGAGGGGGGACTGGAGCTCGGATGGGGCTGTCTGGGGGAGGCCCAGTGGCATCTCCTTTCAGTGAGTGGGCAGGGTGAACTTCTCTCTTGACAGGATTGTTGTGGAGCAGAAGAGGCCTGGGTGTTGGGTGCACTGAGGGGAGGGGTGGCATGGCTCTTGGGGATCAAGTGAGTAGGGCAGGGAGTTGGATCTAGGGAGGGGTTACCTGTGATACTGATGCTGACAGGGGGGCTCTCCTGAGGCTCGTGGCTGGGATGGGTGGCCACACAACTGTAGATCCCCTCATCCTCATGCCCCACCTCAGAGAGGAGCAGCACAGGGTTGGAAGCAAGGGGCAGGGGTGTACCCTGGTGGGGAAGGAGGGAGATGGGTAAGAACCCCCGGCCACAACTCGTGCCTTCATTCCTACAGCCGCACATTGTGCCTTCAGCCCAGCTCTCGGGCGGACCTCCGCCTGCCACGGTTTCCTGGCTCTGGGGCTTCCTAGGCTACTCACATCCTTTTTCCAGTGGATCTGAGGAGGGGGCTGAGCTGAGCTGACACAGGTCAGGGTCACAGTTCCACCGGGAGTGACTGTTCCACCTTCTGGTTCAACCAACAGCTGGATCCCCTCTGGAGGCACAAGCTCTGGGCGAGGATGGGCATGAGGCCATCAGCTTACCTGGAAGCAGGTCTGATGGCCCTGGGGTTGATCCCTGCCTCCCAGACAGCCAGACCAGGCCCTTCCCTCCCTGCTCACCCCTGACATGGGTCTTGATGGGGGTTGCGTTCAAGGGCCTGCGTCGGGGAAGGCCCAGGCTGAAACTGCAAGAGAAGGTAGGATGGGTGGTTCCTCCTGGGGCTGGGGTCACTGTCAGCTCTGACTGCAGCATGAAGAGCCCTGTCTCGGGGTGTCTCGTGGTCTCTTTCTTCACGATTGTTCCTGTAGTGGGTAGGACAAAACTCCAAAAGCATGTGGGAGCATGTCGGGGAGAAGGCAGTCGGGTACAGGGCGTCCAGGCTCTCACCTTTGCCATCAGGAGTCAGAAGTTTCCCATCCAAGTGCCAGCTAAGGGTCCCTGCAGGGTAGCTTCCCTCTGACACACAGGTCCCTACCTGGACAAAGAATGGAGACCTCGTCCTCAACTCTATGGGAGGCCATGCAGGCCCACAGATGTGTTCAAAGGACCCTTCCATTTTCTGTTTCTGTACCTTATTAGGGACACCAGCTGTGAGTTCAGAGGCAGGATCCACAATTTCTGGCTTCCCAGGAATCTCTGGAGGGAAAGTTCCAATCAGAAGCTGCCTCTTGAAGGTTCTCACACTCCAGGCATGGGAACCAGGGCCGTGGAGATCAGAGGTCCACATATGCCAGGGTCAAGGGCCAAGGGGGAAAAAGAAGGCGTTTTCTAAAATGCAGAGTGACTTAACCAAGGCCATGGAACCCTTACGGTAGACTCGGACACGGTAGTTGGACTTGACCTCCTTTCCGTGCCTGTTTAATGCCCGGCACCGGAAAGTCCCCTCATCCATGATTCCAATAGCTGGAAGAAGGAGGGAACCGTTGGGGAGGATTCGAGCCACGCTGTCCCAGGGTCCTCCCTGGGGAGACAGGACCTTCCAAGCTTCGGTCCGGCCTGTGTTCTACAAGAGGAGAGAAGCCTAAGCCATCCAGGCGGTTTGGGGAAGGGCTGACCAGACAGGGAGGGGTGCTGGGGACCCTCAAGGATAGCTCCTGAGGTCGAGAGGCCAAGCGGGGTGGCCTTCTTACCAGTTTCCATTCCAGCTGCTGGGGCGGTTTCTTAGGGGCCCCCTTACAGCTCAGGACAAGTGGCTCTCCAATCCGGGCTGTGATGTTCTGACCAGCAACTACGACTCCTGGGTGGTAGTATCGGGGTAGAGGGGCAGAAGAGAGGTGGGGCCAGTGGGTAGGACAGAGTGGGTGGGGGGCTCTGGAAAGTGGTGCCCAGATTCTAGGAATTGTCTAGGGAGAAGGGAAGTCCTGGGGAGAAGGAAGCTGGACTCCTTAAAGGAGGGTCAGTGGGACTGGGAGTGACTCACCCCACAGAACAAGGACCAGCACGCAGGCTCCAGCTGCTGTCCCTGCTGGCATCATGCTTCCTTCCCAGGCTCCTGGTGCTGTCTGCCCCTTTCCCTGCTGTGGCCACTGCCCTAGGTGGAGCTTGTACCCTCTACCCTCCCCCATCTCCCATCTTGTCCCGTCACAGAGAATGCCAGGAATTCATGCCTCTGGGACAAGAGTCCTTCAGGTACTAGAAGCAGCAGTCTTACCCCACCCTGGGGCATTGCCAGTGCCTGGGCACAGCCTCTCCTGGAACAGGCTTGTACCCCACCAAGGGTCTCATTTCCTCCAGCCCACCATGTTCCATCAGTCTGACACACAGGGCTCACTAGCGCTCCACCTTGGCTGGGGCAGGTTGCTAGGCAACATGGTTCAGCCTGGTCTGTTGTCATCCTGGGATCTTAGTTGTGAGGACAGGACAGAAACCTGTTGGGGTTTCATTCAGAATTACTCTTTTGGGGGAGGGTTTCTAGTGTTGTTGTTTTGAAAAAAAAGTCTCAACTAAACCCAGGGAAAAAAGAAATCTCTTTATTTAAAACTGCATTTTTTTCTCTGTGAGTCTACAAGTTTACAGGCGAGAAGAGAACCATCCCGGCCCTGCCTCCCAACACCCTCCTGCCTGGGCCTTTGGTGGGAGGGATTCGCCACTGTGACAGTCCTGAAGATCCTGAGGATGTCTGAGGGGGTCAGAGGGGTTCAGGGCTGAGATGAGACCTTGTTTATGCCGTCACTCATACCTGGCGTTCTGCGGCCTCCCTCTTCTCCCCACCCCCCTGATTTTGGCATAACATTAAAAAAATGAGCAGAAACACTTATTTCTGGGAAACTGGAGGAGAGAGACACATGTAAGCGCCCGGCCCGTGTTCAGTGAGTTTGGCAAGAACACCCTCCATTCATTCTCCACTCTGCAAAGGGTTTAACAAAAAAAAAATTTTTTAAAGCCTTTTGACTTTTTCAAAATTACTGAGTTCAGTCCAGCCTTGCCCACAGGTTATTGGGAGAGGGAAGACAGGAGGCTAGAGGGGCATCGTGCTCCATGTCAAATACAGCAGAGATTTGCCGGCACAAGCTAGGAACACCTAAGTGACCAGGGTGAGGACATGGTGTCCTGCAAGATCCACTTCCCCCATGGGAGGCCTGGAGCAAGTGGCCACCACCAATTGTTTGTTCTCTTTCTAGGCCCCTTTGGCTCTTACTTCTCACGTGGGTAAACAAAAATAAATCAGTATGTTTATTTAAAAAAAAAAAACACGCGCGCACACACACACACCAAAATCCCTATTCCAACTATTAAAAACTAAGGATCACCACTACCAACAAAAACAAAAAAATTACAGACAGATCCCAGGTTTTCTAAAAAACAAAACCAACTCCAAAGCCCAGCCAATGATTCTCTAAAGTAGCAGAAGCTCCCTCCGAGGTAGATAACTGAGTCAGACACTCCTGTCCACCGAGCGAGTCTATTGGTTTAAGATGAGCTGCGAATGAGGTAATAAAGCCGTCTGGAGGGGCGGAAGGTGGGGGTGCGCGGGGAGGTGTTGGCCCAGGGCCTCTGTCCAGGAGTCCCCATTTTTGGCATCTCTGGGTCGGGCAGGGCTGACGTCTCCAGATTCCAGAGTGTTTGAGTGGGGTGGGGAAAAGAAAGCAGGGAACCCAGAGACAAGCGGAATAGTTGGTGCAGACTGGAGAGATCTGAGAAACACATCTGTTTTCTGTGAGAGGGAAAAAGACGGAAAAAAGGGGGGACACCCCACTTTCCCTGCCATGTAGTCAGCACCCCAGCACTGAGTGTCCAGTTGGGGAGAGCACGACCCCATTTGCTCTTCTGTGTTGTGCTTCTGTTGGGGTTTGTCCTTTAGATGCCCAAGTCCTCTTCAAGGGTTGCCTGGTGGGAGCCCCCAGCCCTGTGACCTTGAGGGGCAAGGTCAGTTGGAGGTGTCAGAGTGAACACTTCCCGGGCCCTCTGTTGGGGATGTCACTGAGGATGGGGTCACAGCCTCCTGCCAGCCACCATTGGCCTGGAAAAGAGAATGAAAGTGAGAGAAGGGGAAAGAAATCCCATGTGAGGCTCACACTCCATCCTGGCGAGCGCGAAAGCTGGAGGCAGCGGGGCCCTGTGATCCACTTACCCGCATTTCTCGAGGGCTGTATATCTGGCCTCCCCCGAGGTTATCCCCATAGCTCCCTGGCCCCATTGAGTGTCGGAGGGATTCCACCTGCAGGGTACAAAGAAAGACGTGACCCACGGACACAGGACACACGGAAGCCTTAGGCAGGCCTTGTGTGCTTGGGGGTGGGGCCGGTGACATAGCTCACGCAAGCCTGAAGATCTGGTTCTGGTCCCCAGACCCCACCTAAGCAGGAGATGATGGCAACCACAGAGCTGCCCTGACTTCAGCATGTGCAGTGGTACATGTACCTGCCGCCCCAGCATGCACACCATCAAAGAGAAAAGAGCTGGGGCTCCTGACCTGAGAGGCGGGGTAGGAATCCCCGTTGAGCCCGGGCACCCCCAGAAACATGTCTCCGGATCCTGAGAGGTTGAAAGAGCCGCCAGAGCCTTGGGAGAGCAGAGAGAGGGAATCATCTGACTGCAGACAGGAGGCGAACACAACCCTTAGCTCCCAGAAAGCTAACTCTGGGAATGCACATGGATTGTATACAAATTACCCACAGAACAGCAGTCCCACCCACGGAACAGGCTATCTGGGACCCTCCCCCTGACATCAACACCCCTGGTCTCTTTCGCCCCAAAACATCCTCTTTGCTATCATCTTGCATAGACAGGAAGCATGCAAAGCAGCCAGCTAGAGTGGCCGTGGGCTCCACCTGCAGAGGAAGGAGGCGTTGGGGAGCTGGTGCGGCTGTGGCCCCCCTGGGCGACGGACACGGCTGTCTTCACAGCATAGATATTGGCCTCCTCTTGGAACTTCCCAATATTTTTCTTGTAGCGAATTCGCTTGTTACCAAACCAGTTGGAAACCTGCAGGGTTGGGCAGAGGGGGTCAGACAGAACCCCTTCTTCTCCAGGACCCCCTGCCCAGGTGTCCCCCCCTCCCCAAAGCACCTGAGAGACAGTGATGCCGCACTTCTTGGCAAGCTCCTCTTTGGCCTCCTCACTAGGGTAAGGGTTACTGAGGTGGGAGTAGAAATATTCATTCAGGACCTCGGTGGCCTGTTTGCTGAAGTTCCGGCGTTTGCGTCTGGCATCCAGGAAGCGAGAGCGCAGGATCATGACCGCCTCGCAGGTGCTCTGCTTCAGCTGCATCTGGATGGCGCTGAACTTGCGATGGATGATGCTCACCATCCGCTCCATCTCCTTGGGGGCCACAGGACGAGTGCGGCTCTGCTCCCGCAGCAGGTTCATGACGTGGGTTGTGAACTCATTGCAGGCCTGTTGGGGCAGGTGGGCTGCTGAGGAGCTCTGTGGCTTGGGGAGACCTCCAGAGCCTCTCGCTCCCTGGGCCTCCTCTCCTCACCTGCTCGTACTTCTCCAACTCCGAGTGGTAGATGTGGCGGATCTGGGCAAGCTTGCTTCGATAGTCTGAGTGTTCGATGGAATTGTCGGGGGACACGCCACCTCCCGAGGCTGCGGCGGCTGCAGCTGCCGCTGCGGAGCCCCCCCCTTTCTCTGGTCCAGCCACACCTTCTGCCAGAAGCATGTTGTCCAGGCGCATCAGCTGCGGGTCCACCGGCTCCTCCTCTTGGGAGCTCCGAATGCTAAGGCCTAGCAGGCAGGCGAGTGGACTTAAGGCCCCAGGAACCCCCCCCCACCCACCGTGAGAAGAAAGGGGGGGACACCCACGTACCGGTTTTCTCCTTGATTTCGCACAGGACACTAAACAGAGCAGGCTTCATTCGGTGACAGTTTAGAGCATGTTTCCTTAGGAGGAACGAGAGAAGAGAGAGTTCAGGGGCCAGGAGAGAGGAGAGGGGTGCCAGGGAACCAGGTGGGGGCATAAATCTGAGGAGGGGGACGGTCGGAATGGAGGTGGAATGGAGTTGGAGGGGTAGTTCTTGAGAGATCAACTGCCATGGCTCCGGGAAGCTGCTGGGCCAAAGGAAGCAGAAGACGCAGGCAAAGGGGTTAAGGTCACCATGGGCGGGCTGAGGCTAAGGAAGAAGGTTCAAGCAAAAAGATGGAGAAAGGATCTCGAGATGACAGGAAATAAAGGTGACTAGGTAGGTTTGGGAGTAAGGGAAACTGAGGCTGAGATGGAAGAAAGTCAGTGTGAGGTGGCAGGGGGCCTGGAGGGGGGTGCCCCCTACCTGACACTTCAGTACAGTGTGTGGGAAAGCCTGGGAGGGCTCTTGGAGGCCCCAACCACGGTGGAAGGGAGTGTGTGGAGATCCTGGATCCGAAGAGAATGGGGCAGGCTAGCTGGATAGTTAGGGAAGGCAGCGTCGGCTGAAAACAGTTTCTAAGTCTGGGAGTAAGGAGATGGGCCAGCGCAGAGTGTAGGGGTCAGCAAAAGGTTAGGAGGGAGTGAGACCACCTGGGGCTCCCTCTGTTCGGGGGTTTTCGGGCCTAGGGGCAAAGCGAGCTTTGAGAGACCACCAGAACTAAGGAGAGAAAAGAGTTGCAAGATCCAGAGAGGGCCCTGGGGAAGGGGGGCTTGCAGAGGACTCAGAGCTGTGAGCAGGGTCCCGGGGTGGGGGCACTCACTTGGCCTGGGCCTCGTCCAGGCTCTGGTCGGTGATGGTCATTATCTGTTGCAGAATGTCCCCGATGTCTTGCTTCCCTCGGCCTCCCGGGACCCCCCCACTTCCCCCACCGGGGTCTCCGGCACCGGGAGGCTCGCCAGGGCCCCCGGGCTCCCCACCCACCAGCCCCAGGCTTCCCCGGCCCCCGCCCGGAGGGGGCGGCCCCAGCAGCCGCTCGTCCATAGCTGGGGGGGGCCCTGAGGCCCCCTCCCTATTCGCCCCTCCCCCCGCCGGTGACTTCCCCCCTCCAAACTCGCCGGGGCCGCTGCTCCCTCCGCCCCAACCCCGCCCGGCAACCCGCCTCCTGGCTCCCTCCGGGGGTTCACCCCGGCACTGAACGGGAGACCCAGGGTGCCGCCTGGGCACCCCCACAGGAGACCCCGGCCCCCGGCGGCGGAGAAAATGGAGCCGGAGAGAGAGAGAGAGAGGAGGCCCAAGCGGGGGTGTGTGTGCGAGAGGAGGGAGGAGGGAGCAGGGGGAGCTAGGGAGGCGGCTGGGGGAGGGGAGCGGGAGGAAGAGGAGGGGAGGAGAGGAGGAACGGGGAGGAGCCGGGGGCGGGGAGACGCAGGCCGGGCGGCGGCGGCGGGTGGAGGCGGGGAGCGGCCGGACGACCCAGGAGACGCGGGCCTGGCCCCGGGGCTGGCCGGGCTGGGGATGTCGGCCACCTGGGTTCCGAGCCCCCCGTCGGGGTGGCGCGGACTCCGGCCGCTGGAATGTTCTCCGACAGCTCGGTTCATATTTCTTGTTCTAATGACTCCCCTCCCTGTTCGACTTAATTAAAACCGGGAGACTGGGGGCTGGGGGAGATGATTAGGGAGGTCTCCAGTCGCTGCTTAATGAGCCAGTAATTAACCAGCCAGGGAGGGGAGTTGGCCTCTGGCCAAATCGCGGAGAGCGGCTGCCCCAGGCGTCACCTACCCACCTTGCACACCCACCCACCCCAGATACCAGTCTTCAGTCCAGAGGGGAATTATATTTATTCATACAACCAAAACATCAGACAGACTCAGCAGCAGGGGGGTGGGCGGGGCTAAGGTTCGCTAAGGCCTCTGGGGCCCTCTGCCTTCGGACTTGGGGTGCTAGTGGCGGACAGTTGTCTTAATTTTTTTCTTTTTTTCTTACTAGGCAGAAAGGGGCAGGCCTCAGCCCTCACACTCTGTTTAGTAGTTTGATAGCTCAGGATAGAGCTGTGTCCACCCTACCTTGCTTATTTTCAAAGTCAGAGTACTTGCCCCAAGTCCAGTTCCCTGGGGAAGTGGGTGGTGAATACTGCCGGGTCTTCAGTCTCTGGTTTCTGGTACTCCTGCCACACAGGGTTGAAGATATGCCGGGTGGCCCAGCTTTGAGTCCCAGAGAGAAGGGCTGGTTGGGAGTTAGGTCTCAGCAGGTGTGTGGAGGGGGCCGGGATCTCTGCTCCTCCATTCGACCTCCACCCTGAACTCGCAGTAGCAACTCCAGGAGCTCCTGTCCCCCGGGGGGGAGGGGCGGCTCTGACCGCTGGGCTTCCATCCGCTGGCACTAGAGATGTGAAGGAAGAGGGCAGTGGTAGTCGGGTGGTGGGTTTGGGTAAGCGGGCTAGGGCTGGTGTAGGGCAGATAGGAAATCTCTGCCGGCGATGAGGGGAGTAGAGGCTGGTCCAGGGACGTAAGACGTTACCTGGTGACTAAGGATGGTGCTGTAGAGCTGTTCTTTGTCCTCAAGAAGCCGGGGTGGGGTTGGGGCTAGGCTTGGGGGGACCTGAGGAGTGTGGAAGGTGGCCCTCTGTTCCTCTAGGCGGCGGGACTGGGCCTCAGCCACCAGGTCGAGAAGGAGCTCGGTCTGCAGGGAGAGCAGGGAGCCCGACCGGGGGCCCAGAGCTATGGGAGAGGAGGGAGGAGGGCTAAGACCCAGAGACGGTGGCAGAGTGGAGTAGCAAGGGGTGGGGACAGGTGAGCTGACAGACTGTGGGTTAGGGACTGGCGGGTGAGCAGGTACACTGGGAAACGGAATGGGTTAGGATCTCCCAGGGTTGGTGGGGTACCTGTGTGGCGGGTTCCTGGAGGAGGAGGGGAGGGAGGAGCAGATCGCCAAGGCCGAGTGGTGGAGTTCACAGGGGGCCAACCCTGATCATCTTTCGGGGGACCCTGATGCCAAGACATGTCCATACCAGTCAGGGGGAGGTGTGGGCAGAGGGCTAGGCCAGTAACCCATTTCCCGTGTTTCTGTTCCTGCCTCAGTGTGCCCAAGGTTTTCCAAGTCTCCTGTGTCCATCCGTCTCTAGGTCCTCACGGGGCCTTCTCCCTGTGTTGGCCTCCCCACCCCGGCACCCAGCTCACCTGCTCACCATCCTCTTCTTCCTGGGGTCTTTCAGCCTCCATCCCTGGTCTTGGGAAGAGATACTGATGGGGGAGGGGTGACTGGAATTTGGAAGGAGGACCGGAACCCTGGGTTCCTGAGGGGAATGGGGGCTGGAAGGGGTGGGGGGTGAGCTGGGGGCTGGATGCCTGGGTACTGAGCAGGAAGCTGGGTTCCTGGTCAGCCCCCCCATGGGCCCCGCCCATCTCTGTCAACTTCCTCCATTCTCTCTTCCCACCCAAACAGCTTGTTTGACCTCTCTTGCCCCAGGGGAGGACAGAGACCGGGAAGAAGTCCAGCTGCAGGAGTGGCGCAGGCTCCCCACAGGGACAGACTCTGGCCTTCTCTTTTCCAGAGCCTCAGTAGCCCCTCTAACCTGCCACACTGCTCCCTCCATCCCCACCTCCCCTGCTGCTCTTTTCTGTCAACACCGGAACTAGCTCTAACACAGGAAGTGGTTTCACTCAGACTAGGCTCCCCCCCCCCCCAGACTAGGCTCCCCCTCCCTAAGACTGATCCTGCTGTAGGATTTGGCCCTTCTCACCTCCTCTCTCGACTTACTGGGTCAGGGAAAGGTGTGGTTCTAGAAGGAAGCGGAAGGTTTGGATTCAGGGTGCACTGCTCTCAAATGCATACTTGGGTCCTAACAGTGGCCCTACACACAGGAAGTAGTCAGGGACTGGGAGTTGGTGATCACTACCCTCCCCTCAGGCATCACAGAGGGGATCCGAGTGTGACCAGTTCACTGGCAGCTGAGCTAGTGTAGACAAAGGCTGGGTGAAGACTTGCCTGGGCTCCTGAGAGTGGAATACAGAACTTAATTTGGCTTTTGACCAGTTCTGGTTAGTCCCAAGAGGGAGCAGGATCAACACCTGGGGTCTTCAAATGGCCACCTGCCGTGTGAACTTAGAGCTGAGTGACTTGGAGCCCTGCCTTCTTAGGTGAATGACATCTTCGGGCTTCGGTTTGTGAAAGGGTGAAGTGGCCTCATAAGAATTAGGAAGTGTTAACTGTAATGGGCATGTGGCGGATACTCTATAAATGGCGGCTGATGCTCTTCCAGAATGGCCTCCTGGGAGCTCATCACAGGCTTATCAGTATTGAGGTAAAGCCTTGAGGCTGCAAGGCAACTTCAGGATCCTCCTGTCTCCCTTCATTGAGACCTTAGGCATCTCTGGCTAGAGCTAAATGCCCTTGGGTGAGGGACACAGTGTCCCTCACCCTGTATATTTGACTAGTAGAGACTCTCTTTTTTCAGATGACTCCCCCAATGAACTAGGATCCCAAGTTGTGTTTGCCCTTAATTTATAGTTGACCTCTGTAGAACCTAGGGTACTAAGTTTCCCAAATGCTATGCACAGTCCAATTCCTCGGACAAAGTAACACTTTAAATCAGCTTTATTATCATGAGTTTGGGGTTCTTAGAGATAGCAGAGGCCAGAGAGCAAAGCCTCATCCCTGCACCGTTTTCCTGGGGGGGGGGGTAACAGAGGGAGGTCAAGGAGTCATCAGCAGAGGCGGCTACTGGTTACCCCTCATCATCCACACGCCTGGCACATAGTAGGTGCTCAATAAATATTTGCCGGCTACTTGTGGGCAGTGGAGTGCATTAGTTCCCCGTGGGAAACCATACACAGTCACTTTTTTTTTTTTTTTGTAGTTTTTCAAGACAGGGTTTCTCTGTAGCTTTCAAGCCTGTCCTGGAACTAGCTCTTATAGACCAGGCTGGCCTCCAACTCACAAAGATCCACCTGCCTCTGCCTCCCGAGGGCTGGGATTAAAGGTGTGCGCCACCAACCGCCCGGCCCACAAGACACATTTTACACCCAGTTTGTCCACCGTTTTTGGTTCCAGTTTAGGGATTCTCAAAGTCCACTTTGTTCTCCTGTAGCTGCTCTATTTTCCAGGGAAAGCTCGACGTGTGTCACTCGGAGATCCTAAATCCTCTTCCCGGGGCTGTGCATCTTCTATAAAGAGGACAAGCGAGCACAGCGCTTATTAAGTCTGGAGTCTTCCGGAATGCCCGTCATTCCCTTCCCTCCGTGCAGCTGCCTAGTTTTGACTCTCTCCACCCGGGTTTAAGGGCACCTCTTGGTGGACTGGAAGACCCCAGGCAACTTGAGGTGATCCGTGTTCCGGGGACGGGGTCAGGCTGGGAGGCGGGATCGGCGCACTGCGGGCGGAGCCGCAGGCTTCCAGGGCCACCCAGTCGCGAGGCCAGTCATCCAGTGCTGCCCTGGCCCCGTGTCGCCCACGGGAGCCCGCGGAAAACCGGCGGCCGCGCAAGGGCGGCTCTACGGAGCTTCCAGACCGGCTCCGGCAGCGCGCGTACACCGCGCCCCCGCGCCCGCGAGCCCCCAAGTCCACGGACCCAGCACGAGCCAGCAGGCAGGCTCCGCCCCCGCGCGGGCGCGCTCCCACCGACAGCGTCCGGCAGCGCGGCGCGGCCCCGCCCCCCGGCGCGATGCGTGAGTGCGCCCGGGCCTCCGGCGGCCCCGCCCCCTGCAGTAGCGTCAGTAGGTCCCAGTGGCTTCGCTGCCGGGCCACATCGCCCGGGGACATCCCGGACTGGTCCCGCAGCCCACGGGCCGCCCCGAGCTCCAGCAGCAACTGCGCCACCTCCACGGCTCCTTCGCGCGCCGCCAGGAACAGCGGCGTCTGCTCCTGCGGGGCGGGGACCGGGAAGCCCGAGGGCGGAGCGGTCAGGGAGTCCCCGCCCACCGGGTGCAGTCCCCTCCCGCCAGACGCTCCCACCCCCACCGTGAGCTTGCGGGGTTCCCGTGCTTTCGGCTTGTTCTGCGGGGCGTCTGCGGCAGGGGCTCACCCTGTTGTCTTGGGCATCTTTATCAGCGCCAGCCTGGAGGAGGGCGCGGGCCGCTCGGGAGTTGTTTACAGCTGCGGCCCAGTGCAGGGCGGTTTTTCCTAGGGCACCACATGGGAGCCGGTTACCCCGCAAGTGGGGGCCAGACTCCTGCGTTCCAGTTTCCCACGGGTTCTGGCCTTGGTGATGAGGGGTGGGGGACGGGACGACTACTTGGGTTTCTCAGAGAGGCGGGAAGCGTTGCCTTGGCAACCGACAGTCGGCGGCAAGCGTTGCCCTGGTGACGTCAGCGGC